TGGCAGAAGGGATGTAATCTGGCAGAAGGGGATGGAATCTGGGAGAAGGGGATGGAACCTGGGAGAAGGGGATGGAATCTGGGAGAAGGGGATGGAATCTAGGAGAAGGGGATGGAATCTGGGAGAAGGGGATGGAATCTGGAAGAAGGGGATGGAATCTGGGAGAAGGGGATGAATGTGGAGAAGGGGATGGAATCGGGGAGAAGGTGATGGAATCTGGGAGAAGGGATGGAATCTGGGAGAAGGGGATGGATTCTGGGAGAAGGGGATGGAATCAGGGAGAAGGGGATGGAATCAGGAAGAAGGGGATAGAATCTGGGAGAAGGGGATGGAATCTGGGAGAAGGGGATGGAATCTGGGAGAAGGGGTGGAATCTGGTAGAAGGGGATGAAATCTGGGAGAAGGGGATGAATCTGGAGAAGGGGATGGAATCGGGGAGAAGGGGATGGAATCTGAGAGAAGGTGATGGAATCTGGGAGAAGGGGATGGAATCATTGAGAAGGGGTGGAATCTGGGAGAAGGGGATAGAATCTGGCAGAAGAGGATGGAATCTGGGAGAAGGGATGGAATCGGGGAGAAGGGGATGGAATCTGGGAGAAGGGGATGGAATCTGGGAGAAGGGGATGGAATCTGGGAGAAGGGGATGGAATCTGGGAGAAGGGGATGGAATATGGGAGAAGGGGATGGAATCTGGGAGAAGGGGATGGAATCGGGGAGAAGGGGATGGAATGAGGGAGAAGGGGATGGAATCTGGGAGAAGGGGATGGAATCTGGGAGAAGGGGGTGGAATCTGGGAGAAGGGGATGGAATCTGGGAGAAGGGGATGGAATCTGGGAGAAGGGGATGGAATCTGGGAGAAGGGGATGGAATCTGGGAGAAGTAGATGGAATCTAGCAGAAGAGGATGGAATCGGGAGAAGGGGATGGAATCTGGGAGAAGGGGATGGAACCTGGAGAAGGGGGTGGAATCTGGGAGAAGGGGATGGAATCTGGGAGAAGGGGATGGAATCTGGGAGAAGGGGATGGAGCCTCGGAGAAGGGGATGGAATCTGCGAGAAGAGGATGGAATATGGGAGAAGGGGATGGGATCTGAAAGAAGGGATGGAACCTGGGAGAAGGGTATGGAATGTGGGAGAAGGGGATGGAATATGGGAGAAGGGGATGGAATGAGGGAGAAGGGGATGGAATCTGGGAGAAGGGATGGAATCTAGGGAAGGGTATGGAATCTGGAAGAAGGGGATGGAATCTGGGAGAAGGGGATGGAATCTGGGAGAAGGGATGGAATCTGGGAGAAGGGGATGGAATCTGGGAGAAGGGGATGGAATCAGGGAGAAGGGGATGGAATATGGGAGAAGGGGATGGAATCTGGGAGAAGGGGATGGAATCGGCGAGAAGGGATGGAATGAGGGAGAAGGGGATGGAATCTGGGAGAAGGGGATGGAATCTGGGAGAAAGGGATGGAATCTAGGAGAAGGGGATGGAATGTGGGAGAAGGGGATGGAATCGGGGAGAAGGGGATGGAATCTGGGAGAAGGGGATCATCCCCTTCTCCCAGATTCCATCCCCTTCTCCCCGATTCCATCCCCTTCTCCCACATTCCATCCCCTTCTCCTAGATTCCATCCCTTTCTCCCAGATTCCATCCCCTTCTCCCAGATTCCATCCCCTTCTCCCTCATTCCATCCCCTTCTCGCCGATTCCATCCCCTTCTCCCAGATTCCATCCCCTTCTCCCATATTCCATCCCCTTCTCCCTGATTCCATCCCTTCTCCAGATTCCATCCCCTTCTCCCAGATTCCATCCCCTTCTCCCAGATTCCATCCCCTTCTCCCAGATTCCATCCCTTCTTCCAGATTCCATACCCTTCCCCTAGATTCCATCCCCTTCTCCCAGATTCCATCCCCTTCTCCCTCATTCCATCCCCTTCTCCCATATTCCATCCCTTCTCCCACATTCCATACCCTTCTCCCAGGTTCCATCCCCTTCTTTCAGATCCCATCCCTTCTCCATATTCCATCCTCTTCTCGCAGATTCCATCCCCTTCTCCGAGGCTCCATCCCCTTCTCCCAGATTCCATCCCCTTCTCCCAGATTCCATCCCCTTCTCCCAGATTCCACCCCCTTCTCCCAGGTTCCATCCCTTCTCCCAGATTCCATCCCTTCTCCCAGATTCCATCCTCTTCTGCTAGATTCCATCTACTTCCCAGATTCCATCCCCTTCTCCCAGATTCCATCCCCTTCTCCCAGATTCCATCCCCTTCTCCCAGATTCCATCCCCTTCTCCCAGATTCCACCCCCTTCTCCCAGATTCCATCCCCTTCTCCCAGATTCCATCCCCTTCTCCCTCATTCCATCCCCTTCTCCCCGATTCCATCCCCTTCTCCCAGATTCCATCCCCTTCTCCATATTCCATCCCTTCTCCCAGATTCCATCCCCTTCTCCCAGATTCCATCCCCTTCTCCCAGATTCCATCCCTTCTCCCAGATTCCATCCCCTTCTCCCCGATTCCATCCCTTCTCCCAGATTCCATCCTCTTCTGCCAGATTCTATCCCCTTCTCCCAGATTCCACCCCCTTCTCAATGATTCCATCCCCTTCTCCCAGATTCCATCACCTTCTCTCAGATTCCATCCCCTTCTCCCCGATTCCATCCCCTTCTCCCAGATTCCATCCCCTTCTCCCAGATTTCATCCCCTTCTACCAGATTCCACCCCCTTCTCCCAGATTCCATCCCCTTCTCCCAGATTCCATCCCCTTCTCCCAGATTCTATCCCCTTCTTCCTGATTCCATCCCCTTCTCCTGATTCCATCCCCTTCTCCCAGAATCCATCCCCTTCTCCCAGATTCCATCCCCTTCTCCCAGATTCCATCACCTTCTCCCCGATTCCATCCCCTTCTCCCACATTCCATCCCCTTCTCCCAGATTCCATCCCCTTCTTCCAGATTCCATCCCCTTCTCCCAGATTCCATCCCCTTCTCCTAGATTCCATCCCCTTCTCCCAGATTCCATCCCCTTCTCCCAGGTTCCATCCCCTTCTCCCAGATTCCATCCCCTTCTGCCAGATTACATCCCCTTCTGCCAGACTCCATTCCCT